TGTGTGTGTGTGTGTGTGTGTGTGTGTATGTGTGTGTGTGTGTGCGTGTGCGTGTGCCGGGGAGAGGGGAGGGAGGACCCCTCCCCCAACAATCAATCAATCAATCAATCAATCAATCAATCAATCAATCAATCAATCAATCAACCAATCAATCAAATTGAATCAATCAATCAATTAATCAATCAATCAATCAACCAATCAATCAATCATCAATCAGTCAATCAATTAAAAGAAAAAAATCAATCAATCAATTTTTTTACTTTTCTTTCAATTTTTTTCACACACCAACCCCCCCCCCCCAAATTTTGTGTTTTAAACTGTTTTCTGTTCGAGGGGGTAGAGTCGGGGTCTCGGAACCCCAATCCGAAACCCCACCCCTAACTCCCAGTCCCCTTGGCTGTGGCGGGCCGCGGCAAACCGCCGCCGCCGCGGTCATGACCGCAGCCTCGTGGCCTCGGACGCGGTCCGTGGTTGTGCGCGCTGCGACCGCGGCCGCGGGTGTTTCGTAGGTTGTCCGTGCTCAGAGGCAAACGCGGCAAATAGGAGGAGTCTGTCAAACTGGACGATTGCACTAACATCAGGTGGAGGGACACCAAAGTCGTCACAACACTCGCACCTTTTGCCTACGATGCTTTCACAGTGTTTCTTGTGAAGGACGACATGAGGAGAGTTGTGAGCCAGCTTCGGTGCCACATGTGCATCATCGACCTTTGTGATCCCGTCGACCGAGCACGGTGGAATGAGGAGGCCTTCAAGGCATTGGGGGGTTTCCTGGAGACCCCGTGTCCTCAATTTTGGACAATGGTCATTTTTGTTCCAAGGATTTGGGACCTCTTTTTTATGGGTCTACTACATTGTCTCCTTGTGGTGAGTGGAAGTGCAGGAAAATGGGTTATGAGGGCCCAAATTCGAAAGACGTACCAAATCAGTAACAACACATGGGCCGAAGAGGACAGGATGTATGTTTTCTTCCACAGGGATGACCTCAAGCTCAATACTCATCCAGTTTATGAGCGGGGGTTGCGAGATGACGACGTTGTCGCCTTGGGAAAGAAGGAGAAGAAGTGCACACCCTCTGATATCGCTGAAACTCGGTTCACGCCTACGACGTTCCTTTCAGCAGGTGTCCTTCACCAGAAGGGGGTGGTGTGTAAGGAAATAGAGTGCAACCCTACTATGTTGTGCAACCTCATGGAGTTCTTCTGCGTACCTGAGAACGCAATTATGTTCCTTGGGAAGGTGCACGCCCAAGTTGTGTGGAATCTCCTCAGGAGTGGGCGTCATGTAGTGGTCGTGGAGGGGGACACAAAACTCCTCAGCTTTCTGAAGACGTATGTCATGCACGAGATCAATAGTGGATTTCACAACTGCGAACTGCACACCGGGCAAAACTCGATGGACCATGACCCCACCAGGAACTTCTGGTTCAAGCTCTCTTCCAAAAAATGGGCCAAGCTTTACAAATTCCTCTTCCAGAACTCACATCCTACATATCGAACCGAGGACGACTATAAATTGCGTCGACAAATTGCGATCGGAACTTTGGACAGTTACCATGGTGGGTCAAGGGAGGCGGCGGCCAACTTCATCGACAAACTCGAGGAGTGTTATTTTGACCAAGGCAAGACCGAAGTCACTGTCAATATTTTCAGGCCACACTTCACCGACGAGGAGGACTTCAACCTAACGATGATGAAGAGGTCATCATAGGTAATGCGGAGTCCAATTTAGAGGCAACATACCGCAAGCATGCTGTCGGTGTAGCATCCTCGTCAACGCCTGCAAATTCTCAGATTCCCGTGGGTTCGCCTGTCGGTACTCCAGTCGCCACGCCAGTCGCCACACCAATGTCCGACTCTTCGAAAGGATTTTTGTCGTCGAGGAGAAACAAACCTCTCAACCCCACCGTCAGGTCTGGATACCCAATTTCACCACGTGTGTTGCCGGGTCTTCGACAAGGCAAAGTATATCACTTCGGCAAAGACCACAAGAGCACCAACGAGGCTGAATGGGGTCACCACATAGTGTGGCATCCTGATCATTTCCAACCAGCCGTTCTGGACGGTGCATGGGTCATGTCAATCAATCATGACAGCATGTGGGAAGTTGATCAACGAATGTCAAAGAAAGAGTTCTTACAAGTTGCGCATGAGGTGGTGGTCAGGCGCATTGTGGAGATCAACGCCCTAGAACCGGAGGATTCGGTGGTCGTATGGCATGAACAGTTCATATTCAAGATTTTACGGGATCGCAATTTGTTGGAGCTCCTTGCTGAATTTTACGGACACGAGATGATCCCGAGTTTAAGAGTCCAAATTGAGTGGGTAATTTCGTCAGGAGGGGGTGGAACCAGCGGTGGTGGAGGGGGTGGAACCGGCAGTGGTTGAGGAGGTGGAACTGGCGGTGGTGGAGGGGGGGGAAATGGGCTTGGGGGGGGGGGGAGGTGGGGGGGGGGGGGGGGGGGGGGGGGGGGGGGGGGGGGGGGGTGGGGGGGGGGGGGGGGGGGGGGGGGGGGGGGGTGGAACTGGCCTTGGTGGAGGGGGTAGCTGGTGGTGGTGGGGGAGGTAACTAGGGCATGGGAGGCGGAGGAGTGGGGGGCCACGACGGTCCAGGAGCGGGTGGGCAAAGTCGATATCAAAGAAGCTCTGCAAGAACAATCTCGCCTGGAATGGGTCTACGTCTACACAGTGGCGTGAAAGCAGTAGAAGTGGTTACCTCACAGACCAGCGTGGGTTCTCGGATTGTTGAACCCACCGGTGCCCTATTGTTCAGTGGAGGATGTATTCGCTCCACTGTCGAAGCTGAAGTTTTTGCATGTTCCAAACTGCTCAATGTCGGGACTGTCCCATGTAAAGTTTCATCGGGATCTAATTTCGTGTCAGATTTGGAAGGGGAAGTTGGATTCGTAAAGCTTGTGGAATCTGAGCCGATGTCGGATGTCGACGTAGGGTGCCTTCCCATTGACCGCGAGGAATTCCTGGAGGGAGGATCTATCTGACCCACAACGGATTGTGCAGCCGCCATGCCGTTATTGAGCTCTTCCGCCGCCGGCAGATCTATCCTCAAAACCACAAGTCGGTCTAGAGAAACCCAAGCAGGCCATATTCCCGTTTGGTTTGCGTTAGTACAAGGAAGTCAAACTGGGAAAATAAAAGTAGGAGGCCTTACCGCCAACGTCACGGGAGTCCAAAGCCTTTCAGCATGTGGAGGATTTATCCTCCCCACAACAAGTCAGGCTGGTTCGCAGCCTTCTGGCTCAGGTTGCGGAAACGGTAGGAGGAAGTCATGCTGGGGAAAAGCCAGTAGGAAATTTTCCGTTGGCGTGCCTTAAGTGGAGAGGCTTTCCGCCAGTGCAGGATCTATCCTCCGCACAACAAGTCAGGCAGGAGAGACCCAAGTAGGAAACCTCATAGGTCGCGGAAGTACAGAGCCTTTCACTGTGTGGTGGATCTATCCTCCCCTCAACATGTCGGGCTAGGGAGGTGCAAGAAGTGAACCTTCCCGCAAGTGTCCCGACAATCCACAGCCTTCTCACTAGCGTCCAAACAAGAAATCAGGCTCTGAAAACGGTAGTAGGAAGTCAAGTTGGGGGAAAGCCAGTAGGAAGTTTTTCCGCAGGCGTGCCTCGAGTGCTGACTCGGAGCCTTTCCGCCAGTGGAGGATCTATCCTCTGCACAACAAGTCACGTTGGAGAGACCCAAGTAGGGAGCCTTCCCGCGGTCTGCCCGAGAAGCCAGAGTCGTTCCCCCAGTGGAGGATCGATCCTCCACACGACAAGTCAAGTTGGAGACACGCAAGCAGGAAGCTTGTCTGCAAGTGCCCCCGGTGTCTAGAGCCTATCACCCATAGGAGGATCTATCTGCCACAGAACACATCAGGCTGGAGAAACGAAAATACAAAGCATCCCCTCAAGCATCTCTGGAGTTCAGAGCCTTCGAGCCAATGGAGGATCTATCTTCCACACAGCAAGTCAGGACCTATGAGCCTTGGGATTGCTAAGCCCTGTCGAGAAAAGCTCAGCGTGGAATCTGAGTCCTCCGCGGGGAGAGAGGACCAGCCGAGCAAGTCCACCGGCTCCGAGTCAACATATTTTTCAAAGCGAAAGGATGTCATAGACGAGACTGTGGAGATGCAGGCGACTCCTCCTCCTGACGTGAAATGAGGCGGTATGGCGGACGACTTTCTTTCGCAGATGTATTCGAGAATCGATACAAGACTGCTTTCGATGGACAACTTCCTTTATGGAAACTCAACGAAGCTTGATATGTGGCCCTCACAACTCCCTGCATCTATACTCGTGTCAGGTCCGTGTGTGGAGGAGAGAGACGTCACCTTGTCGGAAGAGAAAGAGGGAGTTGTCCGTCGTCCGTTGGACGATGACATCGCCAGAAAGCTTTTTCATGACGATGACGACCTTGTTGTCACCGCTATTGTGGATTCTAGTCCACGCAAGACGCAGGGTGGCGGAACGACTCTGGTGGAAATGTATCTCGATGAGGATGTCAGAAAATAACGCATCAACTCCCTTAATCCCTCTGTTGAAGATGTCTTTCGAATTGTCAACGCTGACGTCGAGGACTTGTCCAAGTTTCCAGCTCGTCTGGACCACATTGTTGCATCGGGGAAGATCAAAGGAAAAGGGGTAGTGTTGGGTCTGAAAGCCATTTGCGTACAGGAGGAGATGCCACAAGTTGAAGACGACGACGAGGACGATGTTGTTGGACACACTCGAGAAGAAGCTCTGGACGGTAAGCAGTGACTTGCATTGCTTAATTCTGGTTCTCTCTACTGTTGAACATCTGAGTGTTCGTTCGCATATAGATAGCAGTTAGGGATATGTGTAAGATGAGGGTAATAACTCCCCTTGGTTTGTGAAGCACGACCGTACGCTCTATTCATAATTATGTTTCTTCATCTGTTGTATAAGTCGATCGTCTCCTTCATGTGTTGTACGGAGAACGTCGAAGGAATATCTCACGAAGACGAGTATGCCACAATTGTCCATAAGGGATATGAAAATTGTAAAAGCGGCTGGTGTGAGTGCTGAGAGAGTTAAGACGTTGCATATGAGAGTTTGCAATAAGTTGACTGTTTCTCCAGTTTCTAAACCTATTTGCAAAAAATTCACTGCTTCTCCGGTTTCTAAACCTAAGCCGTACTTTGAAAGAACAACGAGTAGAGGGGTTCAAATTTACAATGTTTTTAGTATTAAAAAGCAAAGAACTGGGCGACTTGGACAACTAGGATATCATTTTTCTCATGGTCATGCGTGTTGCTTGGTTAGTTTGTACAACCAACATGTGCGCACCAAGCGTTGGAACAAGTTAGGGAGAGTTGTCGAAGTTATTAGACAACCTTATACATTATTACCTATCCCCAACGATGATTATGGCTTGTCTGCCGATGAAGAACTTGATTGTTAGGGTTCGAGACATGGAAACCTTGTTGGATATAGGCAGACAGTTGAACGACAAGGTCGTCAACTCTCGTTCAACTTCTACTTGGCCCTGCTTGTTAGGGATTGTCGTATATATTCTTCGAAAGTATAGAACTTTGTTTCTTTCTTCTTCACGAAATCGCTACTTCAAGGTTGTAAAGGGTTCACAAGATGAAAGATGTTAATCTTTTCAAATATGACGTGTTGCTCATCCCTATTCACAAGGACAATGAACGTTGGGCTCTTCTGTCGATAGATTTTAGAAAGAGAGTTGTACAATACATTGATTCTTATTATAATGCGATGTGTGATGCTTCGTTTGCTTTGATTGCATATAGAGCGGTCGTGCAGTACTTGAATGAAGAGGCCATGATAAGAGGGTTGCCTCAAACGTATCATAGCATGAGATTCAAAATTATCATCAAAGGAGTGCCAAGACAGGTTGACGGATCGAGTTGTAGGGTTTTCGTGTTAATGTTTGCTTCCTTTTTGGCTAGGAGACTACGTCCCCTTTTTCGTTTCGCGAACATTCACATACCCGCTATCAGATGCAAGTTGGTGTTCATCATTGCATATGTTTTGTGAGTAGTTGAGAATTTATATATTTTTATCCACAATTCAACGACGGTCTGTGAAGTTGAACTTATGTTGTGCGTAGTTCATTATTGCTTTACGTAGATGTGTTCTTGTTGTCATTTATCTTTGTCGAAGTTCAGCGAATTTAGTTATGTGGGGAGGATGTATCTGGTCCACAGGCAACCCATGACTTTTTCACTTGCAGCTTTCAATACGAGAGAGAGAGACAGTGAGAGAGAAAGAAAGAAAGAGAGAGAGAGAGTGTGTCATTTGGTTTTGTCAGAGAGAGAGAAAGAGAGAGAGAGAGTCATTTGGTTTTTTCAATAGTTAAGGGAATTAAGGTTTGTGGGCAGGATGTATCCGGTCCACAAGCAACCCTCAACTGTTTCACTTGTAGTGCTCAACATGAGTTCCTAATGGTTACTCGCCTCCTTCGGGCATTTCCGATAATATTTGCTCTCCCTTTCTCTCTCTCTCTCTCTCTCTCTCTCTCTCTCTCTCTCTCTCTCTCTCTCTCTCTCTCTCTCTCTCTCTCTCTCTAAGCATTTGGTTTTGTTAATACTTCAGGGAATTCAAGTTTGTGGGCAGAATGTATCCAGTCCACACGCAACCATAACTTTTTCACTTGCAGTGCTCAAAATGAATTCCTAATGGTTACCCGCCTCCTTTGGGGAACCTTAGTAATATTTACTCTCTCTCTCTCTCTCTGACTCGTTTGGTTTTATCAATACTTCAAAGAGTTCAGGTTTGTGGGTCGGATGTATGCGGTCCACATGCAACCCGCAACGTTTTCACTTGCAGTGCTCAAGATGAGTTTCTAATAGTTACCCGCCTTCTTCGGGCATTTCCAATAATAATTACTCTCTCTCTCTCTCTCTCTCTCTCTCTCTCTCTCTCTCTCTCTCTCTCTCTCTCTCTCTCTCTCTCT